TAATCTGTGAATATTCTTTGTTTTTATACATTTCACATATTGGTCACTAACGTTTTACCAGTTAACTGATTAACCAGAATTTTACATCACTAATTATTAAAGATAGCTAGGCTCCATTGCTGATCACAGCAAGAAACACTTAACTTAGAATTTCATAATTAGTGTTTAAAATATCCTCTAATTTCATGTGTATAAGGTATTTGTTCCAGGAGTCTATTGTTTTGCCCACTTAGTTTTCAGTCTGTATTTTTTCTTATACAAGTTGCAAATTATTCAGTCACTTGAAAAAGGGCTAAAGTTTTCTTTCACACTGTCACAAGACACAGCTGTCTCCCACACTAACATTTCCTGCTAACCAAACCTATGAATTTGTCTAGCTGGTTTGCATTCTCAAATGGCTTCTTTTCAGGAAGAATACAGATTTCTACAAGCTATAATTAAGCTTAATTCTCCTTTTCTTTTTCCAGATGGAGCCATTATGCTCTCTGTCCCTGAAGTAGTTTCATTAGAAAATGGTAGTGTGACAAATATCACTGTGACTCTAAGGTAAGGTTAGAACAGCAGTTTGTTTCTCTTCCTTTAATTGACTGCTTTTGGCACAATCTTATTACAACCACAGTCATCAGGCCAGAATCGAGAATGGACAAGACTAGTTAAGATGACAAACTAGATTTGCAAGAAAGATGAGGTGGCTTTATGTATGTAGGGCAGCAGTTTTCAACCTTTTTTTTTTTTTCTTTTCAATTTCAAATGGAGGTGTGCACTTCTTTGGTAATGTTACATCTAGTCTGCAGACCCCTGGGAGTCCATGATCCAGAGGTTGAAAGCCATTTTTCTTTGGCAACTTTCCATGGACCCCCATAGACATAGTTTGTAGAAAATGCCTCTGATGTGCTGAGAACCACTGATTTAGGGTGAGTTTCATCTGTGTGTAGTGTTCCATTTAAGTCCTGGTACATAGGCTTCTTACTGACTTTCCTGGTGATGAAAATTCACTGTTGGGTACAAGCTCAGACATTCTGTATTTTTGTACCAATTAGTTTGGCTAGATATAATATCCAATATTATATGGCCTGTGTTGGGGTATTGAATTCTGCGTTTGCAGAGAGATGGACTCTTGTCTCTTCGAGCGCTAGCTATTATGAGCCCAACAAAAACGTGCTTCAGGTACAAGTTTATTTAGAAGGACCCTTAAATGCCATACTCTACTTCCTTCTCAATGTGAGATGATTTTGGGGAGGAGGGGGGCAGAAGGAAGGAGACTTCACCTCTGCAGTCTTCTCTGGGGATTGGTGGGATGCTTCCAAAGTGGGAGGAAGAATAGGGAAATACCAGACTTCAAAAGGTGTTTATCCATCTTTCAAACCCCTGCTAGAATTGACTAGTGGTTGCATAAAGGGAGACGTGCTAGTTCTGTCCAGTTCAGATTGGTCTATCAGTCGGTAAAGGACAGTATCTGTTTCTAGAGTAGGATATAATGTTGGTGCCACAAGTGATTAAATATCAGTTATTATATGTGGTCTTTCCAAAACAATATTGCCTGAGCTGTGTGGAACCAATTCTCTCAGAAGGCCTGAAACCTCCTTTAACACATGGATTTGTAGGCTTCATTTGACTTGTCTATCTTCACAGTGCCCCATTAAATGAGACATTGGTGATAACATTTAATGTCACATACTCATCAAAAAATGGAACCATTGTTGAACTACCTGATCAAGTGAGTAACAGAACTGGCTTCAGACCTTCTGCTAATGCTTACAATTGGTCATAGTCTGACCACATTTAAAAATGTGAATAATTACACTTGTAGCCTTTTTTCCTTGTTTGACAGGTAATATTATCTACAGGTCTAAAGAAGTCAAGCTTTCAAGTGAAAGCGAAAGATGTTGGACAAGTTACCATTTTTCTTGTTGCCAATAATTCCAACCAAACTGGGTGAGTTAAACTACAGTTCAACCCAAAACATGTGCAACTCCTTGTTATCTAAAGTGGTATAATCATCTCTCTCTCTCTCTCCTGCTCCCACACCATTTCCCAGTATCCTAATTACACTGCTAGTTTTCTTGATTAACATCAACATAGTAATCTCCTCCCCCCCCCCCAATAATAATTGAGATAACTGAACTGGTACTGGTAGCTTCTTTATCCAGTATGTATCTTTGAATCGTGAAACTTAAAATCCTAGCTGTTCTTAGGTCAGGTTCAGCGGCAACATCTGAACCACACACAAGAAGCATCTCAGAGCCTGCATGACTCAAGCTAGGGCTGAACGGTGTCCAAACTGCATGAGCTGTTGCTTTGTCTGTCTTGCTCACACATTTCTGAGTCTGAAATATCCTGGAATGCTAACAGCCTGACTCTCCTCTGCATACTCACAGCTTTCACTAACTCCAGTGTAAGCCCCAAGTACTTAGCACATCCACACATCTTCCTGCTTAAGGAGTCTCTTAAAGAGTCATGTGTTCACAGGTGGAACTCTCTTCCTTGGTATCAGATCAAATGGGTGTGATGGGGAATGCTGAGTTGCACATGCTTGTTACCGTTAATGCCGCAGCTCCACGGGATAACGCACAGTCTTGCCACTTCCTCATTTCATTTCTGCTTTTTTCTGTGTCTTGATCATGTCTATTGTTACCCACATCATGACACATCCAGGAACACGGGACAAGCCAGATCACAATGCTTGGCTTGCAGAGCATGAGGGTAAAACCCTGCTATTGCACAACACTAACATACTAAGAGGACTGGAAGTAGTAGTGGAAGGGAGGAGGAAATATGAAGGAACAGAGGAAGAGTGAGGGTAGGTGAGACCTCACTAAGATTGGTGGAAACCTTAAAACCCACAATGGTGTGTGGGGAAAAGGGGAAAGCTTTATTACTGCTCTACTAAAACCAGCCCTATGTTTTTTGAGAAACTGACTTGAGTTTTCTGCCCCACACATTAGAATTGAGAGTGCATGATTGATGCAGAAGCACAGAGTCTATTCATAATTTAAAAACTGATTGAGTGCAAATTCCTTTGCAGCCCAAGGATTCGATTCCAAGTGATCCATAGTAACATAGTGAAAATTATAGACCAGGTGATCGGCTGGATCTATTTTTTCGCCTGGTCGATTTCCTTCTACCCTCAGGTTTTTGAGAATTGGCGACGAAAAAGGTAAGGAGATTCACTGGGAGTGAATGAAGTCTCTTGTGGGTAAAGTAGTTGAGCTTGCAACAAGGTTACTTTCCTAACAACTGACAGTCATTACTCCAAGGCGCTGACCCTGGAATTGGTTTTGCCCAGATGGACACTTGCAAAGTAGCATTGAAGTCAGTGAGCACCAGTTCACATGTGTAGCTCAGGTCTTGATTCTGCAATCAAAGTCACTACAAAATTTAAAAAAAAAAAAAACCTCAAAACGATTCTCCCAGCTGGAAAAGTGATCCATCACTAAGCGTTTTTTTAGCACAATAATGGACTCTTGCCACCAGAGGGAGCTCCTGTAACAGTTTCATTAGCGTACTGGCAAAGTTGTAGATGATAAATGAGTTAACAATTCAGAGAAGTACACTCACTAGTACCGCTGCCTCCTGGAGTGAGGGGTGCATGTGTGTGAATAATTTCCCCAATCGCAATTCTGTTTAACTCCACACTTGTCATCTGTTCAAATGAATGGTTATTTATGATGTAAACTTCACAGCTAGAGACTGCAGCCTAATTCTACTAGGCATTGTACAGATATGCAAACTATACAGCCTACTCCAGGGCATGGCGGGAGGGCGTATTGTTGGTTTGCAGGTTTCTTTTGCATGTTAAACACGTAGGCTACATTTCTGCAGCAAGGTTTTTGCGCAAAAAAGGTCGTTTTTGTGCAAAAACCTGCGGAGCGTCCGCACCTCAAATGCGCTTTTGCGCAAGTAAAATGGCAGAACAGAGGACTTTTGCTGGTGTAAGTAAACCTTCTGCAAGGCATAGCTCCTTTCTGTGCTACAGCTAATGTTCAAAAAGGCAAGTGTGGATGCTCCAGAGGGGTTTCATGCGCAAAAAAGGCCATCAGAGCTTTCTTGCACAAGAGTATTCATGCAGTGTGGACGCTGTCTTGTACAAAAGCACATCACTTCAGCGATGCGCTTTGAGGTGTGGATGTGCTCTTGCATGAGAAGTTTTTGCGCAAAAACTCTTGCGCACAAGGCTTCTTGCGCAAAAAGACGGCAGTGCAGACGTAACCCTAGAGTAACTTTTCCTATATGCCTATT